AGGAAGAACTTCCTGACAGTAAGAGCTGTTCGACAGTGGAATTTGCTGCCAAGGAGTGTGGTGGAGTCTCCTTCTTTGGAGGTCTTTAAGCAGAGGCTTGACAACCATATGTCAGGAGTGCTCTGATGGTGTTTCCTGCTTGGCAGGGGGTTGGACTCGATGGCCCTTGTGGTCTCTTCCAACTCTATGATTCTATGATTCTAACCTCTAGGTCTCAGTTCCCCACTCCTTCAGTAAGCCATAGTTAACACTAGCCACAGTTCACTGTTTGAAAATAACAACAAACTACAATTAGCTGAAAATGAAAGCTTGTAGCTATGCTGTAGGGAGAGTTGGGTGTACCTTATGAGCCTGAGGCTTGTTATACATTACACCTAACCAGTTCTTTTCAACCTGATGCCCTCCAGGTATTTTTGACTACATCTCCTAGCATCACTGACTATTGGTCATGGTGGCTGGGGCTGATGGAAGTTGGGAACTGAAAGCACCTGTACAGTACTGGGCCTGGGGAACCTGCAGCAAACTATAGGACACACTTCCTGCTGCCGACTGGTTTCCAGTATGCGCCTCTATAATTTATTGGAAGATTTAAATGCCAAATAAATTTTAGGTGATTAAAAAAAAGACATGTTTATAGATTTATGCACAGAACTCCCATTAGAAAAGTTGGAATGATATTTCCTAATTTGATATGCTTTCTTCAAATATTTAAGAAAACAGACTATATGAAATATTACCTATTTGAGCAATATAGATTTTTCTGCGTGTTTCTGGCAGACTGAAATGTTTTTGATTAGATAATGTCTTGAAACAGCTTGCAAAATAACACACATAAAAAATAGCAAAGGAACCAGTAGTCATTCCATTTGGCTTACCAAAGGGACCACAAAGGTTGAAAAGTAACATTTTTATTAGCATTTGTAAAACTTATGGAAGCAAAACACTGCAAACAACACAGTTCCAACAAAGGGGCTCCGATTCGTATTAATTTGGGAATAAAATTTATTAGTCTTGGTATAATGTACTTCTGTGTAAACCTGTTTAGGATTCTATTGCATTGCACAGAAGTGGCTAAATGAAGTCTGATGTAGGGCAGAAATGGGGGGGGGGGGAATCTGCTTCTAAAATTAATATGACACAATTACAACCACAATTGATTGAAACCAAGTTTTAAACTGATAATAGCAGGACTAGTGATTTATAAGCAGGTAAATTATATTGTATTTTCTGAAATTGTGATATGTTAAGATTTGAAGAATTAACATAGCCAAGTTAATTATTCTGGGTATCATTCAGCTAAGTTTTACTGAAATTAATAAAGCTCGTTGATTTTAATGGGTCTACTCTGAGTCAATTATGAGCACAAACACATCAGTCTACTAATGTGATCATTCCTGGGCAAGCCCTGGATCCCCTGTTTGAAAGGTGAGGATGTCTGAACTAGGGAGCAGAGCCTTTGGCAGTGGCTGTCCTAGAAATTTGAAATAACCTCCCTATGAGGTTCAGCTATGCTCCTTTCCCTTTTGGTTTTAGGAAATTATGTGAGGCCAGGTTTTTGTTCTTGGTTTTTTATTAAGAAAGCATCTGGCTAGCTGATAGAGCTCAAGTGCTTTATGGAACCGCATCCCTGAGATATGACAGGTACACACAATATCTCCTTGCCAGAAACAATTGGAGGCATTTTGTTTCAACAAGTTTACAGCTGGTTTTATTTATATTGTTTTTAGTTGTTTGTACTGTAATATTGTAAATTGCCCTAAGATTTACATGAAAGGTGATTCATAAAGTAAAATAATAACATTTAAAGGGGCTGATTTTATTTTCACTGTTGCTTTGATTTATTCTTTTTAGGTACTGTATTGCTAGTTACATAGATATGTGAATAGTTTTAGTTAGTATGGGGGAGGGGGTGTATTCTAGCCAAGATAAGGATTTTAAGCAAAGCCATTATCGTTCTTACCTTGATTACTCTTTCAGAAACAGCCGTTTATGCTTTCAAAAGTGAGGTTCAAATCAGCTTTGTAGTAATTCCTGATTGACCATGGCATACATTTAAAGGGTGGAATTCAATGTCATGCTATTACAATCATTCCCTATCCACAAGCACCGCAGCTTGCTAAACAGAAAAATCCACCCCCCACCCTCCACAGGCTGTTCTGGTGGTTCTCCTGACTCTACCCCCACAAGCCAATTTCAGGGGACACACGGGGAGGAGCAGGGGAAAAACTCCATTGAGAAAGTAGAAGCCCTTGCACAGGCTTCCCACTGGTGGGGTTTGTTCGGTGAATACTGCTTTGAATGCAGAATCACCATCATCTTCAGGTAGAATAGGAATGTCTCCTGCCTGAAACCCTGGAGACCAATTGCCAATCAGTGCACACAATACTGAACTAGATCATTCCTTCTATGCCTCCACCATTGCTTTGCAATGTCATCCAGAGAGGGTGCTGAGTCACGCTTCCCAAACACTGGAACTCAGCAATGGATAATGGTAGCCTTTAGCAAACCACATCTCGCGAGTCATTGCCAGAATAATCTACACACAGGATTTGGTAGAGGTTGTTTTCCTGAGGTACAATAAGCTCAGCCTTCCTATGTCTTTCTTCTCAGTCAATGCAAAAAAAGTTTGCTTGAACACCAAAGTCCTCTGTCTCTTTCTTGCATGGGCTGGCTGGCCAGTTAGCCCGCCCTGTGCTCAGTCAGTCTTACCTAGAAATTAGCAGAACTCATTTCTTCTTATCTCAACCCCATAGAGAAATCAGGCATATTTGTACGTACCCATAATCTATGGACTAAGGATATTTTCTTTAATATCAAAGAAGAGAAACTGACTAGATTGGCATTTTGTCCCTGAAAACCACCAGTGGCTCCTGGTAAATACCAACTGTGAATCTCAACTCAAGACTCTTTTAAAAAATTACCTTCATAACACAGTTTTGTGTTAAACTCCCAAACAAGGGACCATCCAATTCTAAACTGAGACCCAACAATTGTACAGCATAAGATGGTTCCCGACCAGTTCACAGGGCCCCTGTTCAACAAAGTGAATACATCAGTGTATGATAGCACTTAAGAGTTCTGGACTAGGACCTGGGAGACCAGTGCTAAAATCCCCACTCAAACATGAAACTCACTTGGGTGACCTTGCGCCAGGCCCAGACTCTCAGCCTCATGGGGTTGTTGTGAGGATAAAATGGGGAGGAGCAGAAGCTTGTCTTTGGAGGAAAGATGGGATACATATGCATATAAAAACAAACAAATAAATAAATATTCTCGAGCTCCAAGGCCAAATAGGAAAATCAGTTATCAATATATGAGGAATACTGTTACCGTAGCAAAGTGTTGACACCACAGCTCAACAACATTGGGTCAGTATCTAGCACATGCATACTATACTAGATTTTGCCAATATAAATGTCCAGTCTAAATTTCAGGGATAGGAATGCTCTTCAAGAGAACAAAATTAATGAAAATTACAATGCTAAATCCTTTTTTATTGTCGCTAATTATAGTTTTATAGACACATTGATTAATCAGGGGCCCAGCTAAGAAACGTTACTTGGGGAACATTGTTTGATTTTTTTACAATAAATAATTCATTTGCCAAAAATATTGAAGAGGACAATGGAAAGGGATAAGTGGGTATCCGCAGCAAAATATTTTCCCCAAAAGAGCCGCATATTAGGAGGCTAGGCCCCCAAATACACTAATGCTTTTAAAACTAATTGTTTCAGTGTGCATGTACTAGCTGGCAATAAAGCTTCAACTATACACACTCTGTACTTAACATCCCCTCTTCTTTCCCTTAACGTTACTGAATGGGCAGATATTGAAGAGGGGAAGAGCTTAAAATGCACCCCCTCTCCAATAAGGCAGCTCAAATCTTAGCTGGGTAAAGACCTAAACCCCCATTTAAGTTTAGCCCAATTCAAATCGGGAGTACACCACACTCCCACAATGCCCTGGGCCAGCTATCACCCTTCTTCCCAAAGCCATACATCTAAAGTTGGGTTTCCACCTCTCCAAGTGTTCAACAAGCACAATCAAAATGCTCAATTTAGCTGCTGCTTGCCACTCCCCACTTTCCCTGTTACATCTCCCTAAACCATCACCTGCTTTTCCAAGGTAAGGTTAACTGGACGTCTCAGCTGAAAATAACCGAAAGAGTGTTCATGGGGCTTTACTACAAGTCCAAAAATCCATGGCTGCAAATGATCTCGAACGGGTCTTCTACTGCACGTTACTTTCCTTACCTTCCGAAATGTAAGGATTTACAGTGGTACCTCGGGTTAAGAACTTAATTCGTTCCGGAGGTCCGTTCTTAACCTGAAACTGTTTTTAACCTGAAGCACCACTTTAGCTAATGGGGCCTCCTGCTGCTGCCACACCCCCGGAGCACGATTTCTGTTCTCATCCTGAAGCAAAGTTCTTAACCCGAGGTATTATTTCTGGGTTAGCGGAGTCTGTAACCTGAAGCGTCTGTAACCTGAGGTACCACTGTACTCATTAATTTTTACTTGTGCAGTGGGAAGGCTAAATTGACCACAGAGGTTTTTAATCTTGAACATGAACAAGCAAATTTTAGGATCTCTAGATTACTAGTTTGTTTGCTGGCCTTCCTACATCTTCAGTAAACCATTGATTTCTCTTAAGAATTCTCCCCACACAAACATTATTTGTCTTGCATATGACTTTATTTATGTTCTCACTATAATTTATTTGACTGTGTTCAGATTATTTTGCCTTTTAAATTTAAACTCCAGCTTTTACATTCTGAATTAACTAGACCCCTTGTACTTTCTTATCTTTTTGTTCGTTTCTTCACTTTTATTAGGCATTAGATTTCTCATTTGTCAAACATCTGCACCCATGAACTCTAGTCATTCAGGGTATCTGGAAGTCTGTCCCCACCAGTCTTCTTTTTTTACTCCCTTCTTAAAGAAAAAGCAACAATTTCCCCTTGTTTTATTATTCTTAATTGTTTCTTATTTTATTTATTTATACAGTGAGAGAAAAAGAAAAAAGTGCCATTTTTTAGTAACATGATTTATGGCTTTCTCCATACTCTTTAAAGGAAGCATACAATTGAACTATATTCATAGCCTTTTCCCTCTTTTGTTTTTTCCTTGTCTTGCGATTGTGAACCAGAGAACAGGGCAAAATGCAATATTCAGTTTTCTTTGAAGGAGAGACTTAGTCTTAGGGCACCTCGTGGGATCTCACATAATTGTGTGCTGCATTTTGTTAATCTGATGTACAACTGCTCTTAAGTTTGTGGCTGAAGATTTGAACATTTGCATGAGTGACTGAATCGAAAATTCAATCACAGGAGCATAGCATTTTCTACACTGACGGGAAGTAACTCTCCAGGGTCTTTCCTCTGCCCAACCTGGAGATGCCAGGGATGGAACTCAAGGGTTTCGCATGCAAAAGGCCTTATCACCACTAAGCTATATATCCACACCAAATTACTTGTACTGGGCTTGGTTTTAAGTGCTTTATTATATTTATTTTCATGTAAATAATTTACTACTACAATCATGATTTTCACATTACAGCACTTCAGTGTGTTTTGCACTACATGTCAATGTAAATCAGTGTTATTGTACCTACAGGTTATATTAATCACAGCTAGGGCTGGAGGAGAAATTCAATTCAGGACACATTTAAAGCCAAATCTATCAAATTCACACTTTCCTCTCTCTCTCTGTATGTGTGTGTGTGTGTGTGTGTGTTCGTGTTCTGAAGCACAACAATCCCTTGAAAAAAAATCACACTTATCTGAATTTTGTGACGTAGTTATTCAGCCAATGTTCACACAAAAATCATATGGGGGGGATGTGCATAAGAATGAAGATATATAACATGCAAAAATGCATTATATTAGTAAGTGGGGAACATATGCCCTGCACTAATAGTTATTGGACTCTCAACTCTCACCAGCCCCAGCAGCCATGGGCAACGGGCAGAAAAGACAGTAGCTAGAACCAAGCTACATCTGGTAGACCACCTCACCCTGACCCAATTCACACCATGCCTTTTGACCAAATGATCTCCAAAGCAGTTTTCAATACATCAAAGCAATGCAAAGAACTGCTCAAAGGTCTTGTTCATCTGGTTGCTAGCAGTTGCCAGGGCATTGCTCCTTTTGCTTTTATACTCCTAGGGCAATGGCCAATTTGGGCAAAGTTCTTTCTGGAAGGCAAAGCACACTCCCTGCAGCTACTCCTTCTCTATCTCAATGATCTTCCCCTTGCCGTAGTGTTCTTCCTAGAGGCTAAACCTCCTATTGTCCGTTGTCCCTTGGACAGGCAGTAAGGGCGAGAGTGTGCCTCTTCTCATTTCTGCTGTCCCAGGGCAACTCATTTTATCATGCCAGGATAAAATGTGGTTGCGTCACCCTGATTATGTGGAAAGGATATGAAGGAAGTTCAGTTCATCCATTGATATTCATCATGTGGTTACTGGAACGTCAGGTGCTGCAGATCAAATTTCATAGTCCAACATTTCATATCAACCCAGACGCGATGCTTTCAAGCGGAAGCTATTCACCTGTGAGCCATCGAAATGTTAGAAATCAGCTGAAGAACATAAATGAGTGAAATCAGCCCTGAGAGGGTTTCAGTTGGAAAGGGCAACTGTTCACCTGGAACAGTAAAATGGCTTGCATCCAGTGTAGTGCTAAGTAACCAGCTGATCAGATTTCTGCAACAAGACTCTCCTCCCCTTGTGCATCCCCCAAAATCTGTTCTGGGATTCCAGACCAGATTTGGAGAGGGCATTATGAAGGAGTGACTGTGGGCCCTCAGATGTTGTTCGATTACAATCCCATCAGCCTCAGCCAGCACGACCAGTGGCCAGGGATGATGGGCATTATAGTCCAAAAACACAGGAAGCCCCTCACTTTCCTCATATCCCAATAGTGATGACCATTGCTGATAATGTGGTGACTGGTCATACAGAAACACTCCAGATAAGATCCTTCCAGAGTTTTATTTTTTCTCTTATTAACATCCTTCCTATTGGCTGTGTAAATGCAGGTAAGCATTGTGCCTTCCAGAACAGCTACCCCTGAGCGATACTATATGCCAAGTAAAAAAAACACTTTGATCATTAATCTGAAGATAAAATACTTGCTATGTCGGCAGCAATTCTAGAAAATATTTTTTACCTAACAGCAGTGAAGTCATGCTGCTAGCTTTATTTCATCATGCTAAATATTATTATTATTAATTTGTTTGGATCTTAGGAAATAATTCTTTATATGCACATGAACTAGTAGTTTTATTTCTGCTTATATCAGGGAAAGAGAGAAGAGAAAAAGACCATAGTATTTTAAAAGCTGACTTTAGTTTTGCATTTAGTGGCAGCACTTGAATTACTCAGAAAAGAGATTAATAATGTAACACACATACAGAAAGAGAGAGATGAATGCATGATTCATGAAGGATACAAATGGCCGCTTCTATTTAAAACTTTCCTGTGATCACAAAGGGACCACCAAGGCAGTTTTGCCCATCTTCAAAAGGGAGGGGGTGGGGAGAAGACCCAGGTTAACTACCAACTGGTGAGCTTTATGTCAATACTAGGAAAGGTCATAGAACACATAATGAAATACAGTTGACAACCATTCTGTGTGGGGGTTCCATTTCTAGACCCCCCCGTGCACATATAAGGTTGCCCCACCCATCCTGCCCTGTTCCACCCCCCGCCCTCATTCCACCCTTTTTTTTATGTTGAGTGAGTTTTCAGGTCACTTCCGAGTTTAGTGCCATGTGTGCGTGCTCAATCCCATGTCTTTCAGACATGCATTAATCAGTTGTTGCCTGTAGTCGGTCTGTGAGCACTTAGAAAAGAATGCTGTGAATACTTAGACCCAGCATGGGTTTCATGTTAGATGAATCTCATTTCACTAATTCTCACTGATGGTTCCTCGTCATCTTGCAGAGGAGGGCAACCAGTATGATCAAGGGGCTGGAAACCAAGCCATATGAGGAACAGTTGAGGGAGTTGAGACATTTCCAAAGTGAAACTATATATTTTAATGCCAGTGAAATTCCATGCCACCCTTTTTGGAGTCTTGAATTAAATTTATGCTTCCTCATAATGTGAAGATCCAAACCTTTTGGAATATGTAGTGGTGCCAAGAGTACAAGATGCAAATTGAGCAAACCACAAAGGGAGTACCCAAAGCATCTTTTGATTATTTCCAGGTGAATTGGCTGCAATATGAACATGCATGCACCACATCATTTTCTTAGCTCAGGAAACAAGTTTGTAATAGATACATCTTGTGCAATACAAGCTGATTTAGCTAATCTCATTTTGGACTGCTAAAAATCTGTATTTATCCTTCATCACTTTCTGCCACACTTTCACCCACTGAAGAAAAAAATAAACTACGAATGTCCCTTGCTTTGAAGTTCAGTCATTGGTTTCTGAGTATCACAAGTTGATTCCAGATATACAGTTGTATCCAACTAAATCACACTCGAATTAGATCACTTGAAATCTGTGCCTATATGCTTGAGTGCGACTTAGTTGAATACACCCTAAACTATGATTTAGTCCCAATGATTTCAACAAAAGAAAAGTGTGACTAAGCAAAGCTGCATTCCTAACACCTATTACATGGGAGTAAGCACCAATGGATTCAATAGGGCTTGCTTCTGAATAGAGAGGGGGTCATATCAAATGCTGGTCCGTACTGTCTTCCAGTTGCACTGAACTTTGTTACTCCAAGCACAAGTAGCCCATTTGAGTGGCCCTGAAGAAAGGCAGGACTGCTTAAAAACTATTTATAAATGTACAAAGGATCTCTCATTGTAAGTACTGGCTTCAAAATGTGTTTTTAACTGCACCATTGGCAAGTGAGATGGGGAGCAAAAGGGCAACACTGATTCCCACCAAAGTAACATGTAACAGGCTGGAGGAACAAAAGGGCATTAGTTTCAAAGTAAAGCTAGTTGAACTTTGTTTCCAATGCAATCAATGGAACTTCAGTTAACTAACAGGTTACTCTGGATCCAACCCTTTGTTAATGCACTTTTTTTTTGCGGGGTGTGTGTGTGTGTGTGTGTGTGGAGCTGTTTCCCAGTGAAGAAACAAAACAGCCACAAGGTCTGGTCACATTTTAAGTCATTACAAACAATTTCCTAGTGATGTTCCCCAAAGCAATCAGTATGAGAAGCACCATCTGCACTTTGCATATTGCAGATGCACAATGCTGCTCTATGTCTGATGCCAATTAAGCCAATATATGCAACATTAATTATGCTAATGATATGGCCCTAACAGACAATCCCTTCCTTATTGATTTATTTCTACAGCGATGCAGAAAAGGCTAGCATGGCGTGCGTAAAATTGGTGGAACACCGAGTGCTACTTCCCGAGACAACCTTGCAGATAAAACCAGGCAATCTCCCAGGCACCTGCGCAATACTTAAGTGTTACAATGTGGCTTGGATATGGAATTTCACAAGCTATCTAACACAGAAGACATTTCTTCTCACTAAGGTTAAGTGGCTAACAGCTAGGCTTCTTTTAAAAAGGGAGAACCCATTCTGGAAGCCTAGTAGTGCCTAGCTACTGTTCTAGCTCCCTCCCACCAGACCCCTCTTCCATTCTGTGGCAGAATAAAAAGATAATCAGCTACAAGCAGACAAAAACTGTTATAAAAGATCAAAGCAGAGTGAAGTGGTTTAGACACTAGTCAAAGCCCAAATGCTAATGTTTCAAATGAACTTGCAGTGAACCATATTGTGTATGAAATCATTTTGATCCAGCTCCAACGCTGCATCATCTGAACGTCTGTATTAATGATATCACCCCATTGAGGGAACAGATGCAAATATCAGAACACATCTGAAGCCGGCTTTGTTTTTCCAGAGGAAGCAGAATCTGATAGGACAGTCTCTCTATTTGCAACCTCCCTATCTAATGAACAAGATACAAAAGAGATTGTATGTACATGGTGGCAGGGGCAGGGGTGGGGAGAGAGGCAGAAAGCCCAAGCTTTTGTTTCCAATTTTGCTGCAGCAATTTGAACCACAACTAGACAAGCTGCTGTGCAGTTTAAAAAGCTGCCTGCCTCTTCAACAGTGGAAACTATAGCTGGAAAAACCAAGGATCAAAGGTCTGGCTGTGTGCAAAGTTCTCTACCACATGCTTATATCTCTTGTTTGGATACCAGTCCTATGAAGTACGGAGAAGAGAATGTGTCAATTTCAGTTTCTCCGTTTCACATTTTTCCAATCTCGAATTCTCTGCATTTCCACGTCAGTTTGTAACTTTGTTTTCAAAGAGTTCCCTTTGTCTTATTTTGAAAGCAAACTCCTATCAAGTTTCATGAACCAGGAAGGAGGAAAACAGGGTTCAATTTTTCCAAAGCATTTTTAGTGCCAGTGCTGATGAAAATACTTATGAACATTCAATTTTAAAAAGTGCTGCAAAAAAATCCACATTGGCACTACCTTCCAAATGACAACTATTCCTTGCAAAATCTTTAGCACGAAACAAAGGCTTTGAATTTATCACTGTTTTCATTCCAGTGGAATGGGGAAAGCAACAGACCCTCATTATCCAAGTTGCTTAAAATGTTATTTGCGACACTCCAGGAAAATTAATTCCAGGACATTTCATATATCTGGTTGTTTTAATAATCTTCAGAGAGATATAAATAGATAGCATGCTCAGATGAAGACTCTGGAACTTAAAGCAAAGTCATCTTACCACAAAAAGGAGAATGTTAAAACCAGAGCATGTGTAAGATTGTGAAATAGTGGAATTATTATTGATTGGGACCATTTGTCAGAAGAAGGGATTGTCTTCAAAAGAAGTCACGAATCTGACACAACCCCATTTAAGGCAACAGACTCTGGACTAAACCTTTTCCCTCTTCACAGAACCAAAACAACTTCTGCACAGAGGAGACTAGCTTTCAAAGACTCCACCTACCCAGAGAATGCTTGACCTTTAAACATTTCGATATTGTCAGCAACCAATTTGGAACAAGTCTCCTGAAACAGAGAGGAGCATGTTCTACACAGAGCAATTGTTGATCTAGTCTTTTGGTTGGAATGAGATATATAACCAGATACTCACACTATCATGGGCTTTAAGAGGTAAATATTCACTCTCATGACAGAAAGTGCCAGACTTTGGGGAGAGGTGTGTCACCTGATTCAAGGAACTACTAACTGGGAGACCAGTGCTCAAATCCCCACTCAATCATGAAGCTCACTTGGATGACCTTGAACCAGGCCCAGTCTCTCAGCCTCACAGGGTTGTTGTGAGGATAAAATGGGGAGGGGCAGAAGCATGTCTTTGGAGGAAAGATGGGATACATATGCATACATAAACAAACAAACAAACAAACATTCTCAAGCTCCAAGACCCAATAGGAAAACCAGCTATCATTATATGAGGAAAACTGTTACAGTAGTGAAAGGTTGACACCACACTCAGCAGCATTGGGGAATTGTGTAAACATGTCTTTACAGAACTCACTTGTCTAAGATGAAAATCTCAAGCCTGGTTGCTGTTCAGACTCACTGACTCTTGAGGTTGATCTCTTTGCAAAGCTATGTGGTAAAATCACATGGCACTGCAGTTCCCTCCTCTCTTACCTGCACTCTTAAGATTATGCACACCTCGCATTTCTTTCCTGGGATTTCTGCTAATATTAAATAAAGCCCAATTCCTGTTCTTACCTGCTACCTGCTCTACCTTGCCTGCTTAACTGCTGCTTATTTGACTTGAAAGCTAGTGTGATTTAACGGTTACAGTGCCAGACTAGAACTGGAGAGATATTGGTGTGAATGCTCTCTGGATGATCTGTTCACACTATTTCAGCTTGATGAACCTCACAGGGTTTTTGTTGCTATAATAATGATGATGATAATAATAATAATTTATTCATACCCCACCCATCTGGGGTATAAATACCCAGCCACTATATAATGAGAGGACGCTGCCTCTAAAACATATTGCAAGCTACCCTGAGTTCCTAGGAGAAAGGCTGGGATTACAGTGTAAATAATAATTTATTTAAGGCACATGACTCAGTGTGAATACAATTTACCAGCTGGTAAAATTCTTACAAGGGTGTGCATGAAGCCACAGTAAAACAGTCATCTCAGTACATATAAATACAGTGGAACCTCGGGTTACGTACCATCCTCCTTATGAACGCTTCAGGTAACGAGCTCTGCTAACCAGGAAGCAGATGCTCCTGGTAGCGAATTTTGCTGCAGGAAGTGAGCGAAAGTTGCGCACCAGTAGTGTGGCGGCACTGGGAGGCCCCATTAGCGAAAACGCGCCTCGTGTTAAGAACGGACCTCTGGAACAAATTAAGTTAATAACTGGAGGTACCACTGTAGCCAAATTACCCCTGGTGTGTGTTCTCTAACACTACAAAATTTTGGTTAATGGTATTATCATGTCAGTTTTACTCTGTTTCCCCAGATTTCTGATCACGCACAAGAGTGTAATGAAATTCTCTTTACTACTTGGCAGAATACTACATTGAGTAGACACAATTACCACGTTATCATACATCTTCTATTAATATGTGGTTATGCCCTTCTTACTATGTCTGGCTAGATGAGGCCATCAGTCAAGACGTCGTCTGGTCACCCACACAGGTTCAGAGACAATGCCAAACAGCCAGTCAGCTCATGGGAAGTTACCACTTGGTAAAATAGTCACCTGTATTCATACAGGCAAACACTCTTATTCTTGGTATTTTGCCAGACAGCGTCACTCCCTTCCCTGAACAAATGATTGCTGTGATTGCAAACAATCTGTCTGGAGCTGTTCCAATGCAGTCTTCTGGATCAGACTTCCCAGCCCAGGGAACACACATAAAGCACCCATTTTGCATGTACATATTCTCCTGTTGGATTAGGGGTGATGATTAGTTTGTGCTAAGTCTCAACTGGCACATTCATCCGAACTCTAAGAGGGGCTATGTGCACTTATAAACCTTTCTCTATTAGTCAGCATTAGCTGCTTCCTGCTCATTTCTGTGTCATTTATTGTGTGCTAAATGGAACAATTCTTGCTTATTAAATAAAAACAAAAATCCAACAATTGATGGTAAAAAGAGAGAGAGAGAGAAGCTTAATTTTACTAAGCCAAATATCCTAAAATTATTATTTGTTCAAACTGATGGGAAGTCTCTTTAGGATAACAACCACTTAGCATAACATCTTCATCTTGAGTTCTCTCTCAAACTGATTGCAAAGATCAAATACCCTTTAAAAAATCACCAGAAAGAAACCAACTACAGATACCTATGTACAACTAAAATATGGAGAATTCTTAACTGTACACAAGCTATCATTTCAATGGAACAACGAAGGAGACTTTCCCCTTACTGGTATAACAGCACTAGCTCTGAGCTGACAAAAGTAGATTTATTACTATACTAACAAAGATGATGGAGTTGCAGTAGGAAATGCATCTCTCCTGATTCCACTTACTTTATATACTTTACTACTGTAGTCCATGCACTGGTAACCTCAATACTGGATTACTGCAATGCACAACATGTGGTTACCACCAACACATGATACCATCAAAAGAACTGAAGTGACTTCCCATCTGCTACTGGACTAGGCTGAAGGTACTTGCCTTTCCTGGTATGTCCCAGCTCAATCATTGAGATTATTTGGGGAAGCACTATTAGTTGTCCTCCACAGACCAGAAACACAATTTACGCTACTGAGTCATGCAATCAGTGTAGTGGACCCAACAACTTAAGGTCCATAAATAGCAACACCCTAGAGGTCCCAGACGCTAAGGAAGTCAGATTAGCCTCAACCAGAGCCAGGGCCTTTTCAACACTGGCTCCGGCCTGGTGGAATGCTCTGCCTCATGAGACCAGAGCCCTGCAGGATCTGATTTCTTTCCGCAGGGCCTGTAAGACAGAGTTGTTCCGCCTGGCCTTTGGCTTGGAGCCAATTTGATTGCCTCCCCCTCCTTCCTTTTTCCTTTCTCCTTCTGTGATGGAACTCCTATTTGGGGACTTCCCTGGCTTTTTTCTGGCCCACGTAGGACCAGTCTGGATAGTTGGCCTTGATGAAGATTTGATGTTTTCATCCCCAAAAAGTTTTTGATTTGAGTTTCTACTGAAATGAGGCTGCATTTTAATCTTGTTTTTAAGTTTGTTGTTTTTATACTTGGTATTAGCCGCCCTGAGCCCGGTCTTGGCTGGGGAGAGTGGAGTATAAATAAAATATAGTATTATTATTATTATTATTATTATTATTATTATTAACACTACAGAACTCCCTCCCATTAGAAAGCAGGCAGGCACTGTCCCTACTAAGGTTCAGATGCCAGGTGAAAAGAAAATTAATTCAGGAAGCCTTTTCACCATGGATGCTGTTCTGATGTTTTATTCATGTTCTAAATTTTGTATGTCTTTATTCGAGAACCAGATGAGATGAAAAGTGGTGTGTGTGTGTGTGTGTGTGTGTGCAGTCCCACATGGATACTGGAGTTCTGAAACATCTGGTTTAATCTATTTTATTCTTAGAGGAAACATTTTAGAACACAGAAAGCACAGTTTTCTTGAGTGTGCTGGAGACAGGGAGCATAAAATGTTCACATGCCATACTTAGCTTGATTAAACCACAATGTGTACCGGCGCACACAGCCAGAGAACCCTCTTTACACAAGGCAAGGGGTTGGCTTAATATTCTTTCTGAATCAAGAATGGTTGTTTCTTTTCCCCCAACCAACCACGGATTGCTGCCCAGCCTTGAACCATGGTTTGTTGGCAGCTTTGTAATAATGGTATCTTAAGGTGAAGCAAACCATCAAATCTGGGCCATAGCTCAATGCTAGTGCATCTGCTTTGCATGCGGAAGGTCCTAGGTCCAATCCCTGGCATCTCCAGGTAAGGCCGGGAGATACACAGGACCATTAGACTATTGTTCCATCTAGCTCATTATTGTCTACAGCACTGACTGGCAGAAGCTTGCAAGATAGGAAACTTTCCTAGTCCTTCCTGGAGATACCAGGGACTGAACCTGGGACCTTTTGCTTGATGCTGTATTGTTTTTAATATTCAGTTGGAAGCCACCCAGAGTGGCTGGGGAAACCCAGCCAGATGGGTGGGGTATAAATAATAAATAATAATAATAATAATAATAATAATAATAATAATAATTATTATTATTATTATTATTAGCATACAAAGCATGTGCTCTGTAACTGAACCAGGGCCCTTCCCTAAAACAGCTAAATACATACTGTGCCTAACTGAAAGAAACTGGTTGAAATACGATCTTTTTTATTATTATATGATGTTGTCCTAACTCAGTTTAGCATATTTGCAAAAGAATGCACTTACACCAAAGTGCCACACTTATTCAATTCTCAGAGCTCACCGTTTTACTTCAAATGGGTCACAAAAAAATCATCTGCAATTTAATTTTCATGTAAAAATTCATTTTCTGAATGAGTCAAACCAACACCATCCACATACAAGAAGGAGGCACCATCAGGATTGTGGGAAATTCAAGATTTGCAGAAGTACGTTTTTTTAAGGGGAGGGGATTGGCGCTGATTGGCGCGGCGGGGAAATCCCTTAGAATAGTTCAATAAGGATAGAACATGCTCAGTAGTCATGTAACACTGAGTGCCTGTTTGGGATGGATGGAAACCAACCAGGAGAAGAAGGAAACAGAGTTCCTTGGAAAGGGTATGATGGGCAGAAACCTGGAAATAACCACTGTGCACTGCAGGTTTCACTTTTGTTTCTAAATGTGGAACAATGGAACAAAGAGGCTGGAAAGGGTTTAGGGAAAGTCAACTACCTTAACAGATCAAACAGAGTATCACAAGCAGAAGGCAGGAGCAATCCAAATAAACCTTGCTAGAATTGCCACCAGCACAAGGAATTTGCTTAGAAAACACACCCATATCCAATGTTACTTCTGGTTATGAACGCTTCAGGTTACGAGCTCCGCTAACTCGTAAGTAGCTGCTCCTGGTTGTGAACTTTGCCCCAGGATGCGAACAAAAATCGTGCGCCAGAGGCACACGCGCAGCGGGAGGCCCCATTAGTGAAAGGGCGCCTCAGGATAAGAATGGTTTCAGCTTAAAAATGGACCTTCAGAACGAATTAAGTTTGTAACCAGAGGTACCACTGTATAAACAAGTAGCACACTTATTGCTAGAATACTTTATTTAAAAAGTAGGCCTTGCACAAATAAATATGCAGTGGAGTTGAGCCAATGCAAGTATTTTTCTTAATTTAAAATGTAGTCAAGACAATGCATCATTCTATTACAGAACAAATAAGCTTCAGGATCTGCTTTTTAAAAGATCATGTAGAAGACACTAATGTTTTGCCCAGGCTACAGAATTCTAGCAGCAAATATCCAACAAGTTTAGAAAGCAACTGAGTGTTTCATTATCTCCTTAATCACACCATAAAAGTATAGCCTACTTCCAACATTTCTGCTTTGTGATGAAAAAATATATTGGCTATATTTTTGCACATACCTACAGGAGGGTGGGGTGTGTTCAAAACAATATATCACTTACTTGGGAGGAAAACATGCAATATCCACCTCATCATGCAATTTCTATTCTCAGAGCAGCTACCTGGTAGATACTGACCTAAAAATAAAAATAAAGAAAGCTGTCAGAGTACAGTATGTCTGATGGGTTCTCTTGTCTACGTACATTTGATGTACTGCCTTCTATCATTGCTTGTGCTAATGTTCCACAATTTGAGACCGGCTGCTCCTGCTTTGCTGGAAGCTATTAAGGACTATTTGTCTTTTCAAGCTAAATATTCAGACGTATTATATAAACAATCGTTCCTAAACTACAGCCCAACTTGAGAAGTGCTTAGTCTGCAGAAAACTCACCTCCTGCTGAGCATGCTTAGGATTAGCAGCCACACACCCTTTCCACATATTCCATTGTTTGCTGTCAAATGCAGACTCAGAAGAAGTTGCAGCCAATTCCAATAAATACCCAGTACCTGGATGCGGGGTAGGGGTGGCAAGTGGCCTGGGTGGCAGGTTAGCGGGGCAGTAAACAGCATGCTTCCTGCCAACCTAGAAGTTTGAAAGCACGTCAAAGTGCAAGTAGATAAATAGGTACTACTCTGGCGGGAAGGTAAACGACGTTTCCGTGCGCTGCTCTGGTTCGCCAGAAGCGGCTTAGTCATGCTGGCCATATGACCCGGAAGCTGTAGGCCGGCTCCCTCGGCCAATAAAGCGAGATGAGCGTCGCAACCCCAGAGTTGGCCACGACTGGACCTAATTGTCAGGGGTCCCTTTACCTTTTAAACAGCATGCTGCCATGCCTCTGATGATGACACATATGCAGGAGAGAGAGAGGAAGAAGTCTGGTGTGCTGCAGCACATGCTCAGTGACTCCTCTCTCTGCATTACTTCTCCTCCATCTGTGCCTTGTGCAGAACCCAGAGTGAAGCTAAGAGAAGAAAAGGGTTTTCATAAGGATTTTAAGAAGAAATTGCAAATCACTGCAGAAATATGGAGAACTGAATTTAATATTGGGGAAAGAAAACAAGAAACGGACAGAACCAAAACAGAGGGCTCCTTCCATCCCTACTTCCAGGATTACTTTTCCCACTTGCACCAAGAGAGGAAGGAGCAGCGACCAGGCAGTGTGCACTAGCTAAACCACAAGAAAGGAGAAAATCTGGTTTATCCTTATAAGTGAACATGGCCAATGAATTAGTCAGGTGGCCAATTCTCTTTGAGTGTTGGGAAGAAAATCTGGGAAGAAAAATAAGAGTGTCATATTTAGGGTGGCACGCCATGCTGCTCAACCCATACTAGGCAGACTGCAAAATTGTATTTTGTGCTTATGAAGAAAAATTCAGGTAACCATAAAATTCAGTTAAGCCACAAGGACAGCACAGCAGTAGTTGTACAAAGTAGCCCTCAGTGGCCTGCTTTAGCCATCCATCACTATTATTTGCCTGAGGCATGGGAAGAGATCATTCAATTGGGCAACAGCAGGAGTAAGCAGAGACCAACGCTTAGCACCAATTTCTGAATCTCTTGAGAAGAAAAGAACCAGACAATGATGAGATTAGCAACTGTGTGGGAGTATCAGCGAATGAATTATGTTCCAGAGCCAACTAAGGAATCACTCAAATATGGGGAGGGGGACTGCCAAGATTAATTCTTTAAGGAAAAATCAGCCCCCTCTACAGTTCTCATCTAACTGCCTGCCCTTTTCTCAGCTGTCACAATAAACTGAAACACTGGTAAACCACTTCTCATGAAATCATTGTTTTAAAAATAATAGTTATCTTGTAAAGTTTGATGAAGTCCCCACATAACCTTGTATGCTTAGGGAATGTGAGGAGCAATTTCCTATGAACCAAAGTGATTTTGAAAGAAGAGATGCATGAAAAACAAAAAAGGGTACCATTACCACTTTTTTAAAAATACAAGGTTTCAGCTGCATTAAGATACAAGCTGTGGTGTGCAAACTCTAAATCCTCTCATTAGTTTGAGCAGATTTGAGCTAAGAACATAAAAACTGCTTTGCTGGATCAAACCAAGGGTCCATCTAGTTCAGCATTCTCCTTCCATCAGTGGCCAATTGATGACATTTGCATCATACCTTTCCCCTTAAGATGCTTCACTTAGAGGCTTTGAATCAGCAAATTCTTATTGAAATAGTGAAGCAGAGTCACAGTACTTCCAGAGCCAAAGTCTGTACTTGAGGAAAAGTAAACTCCAAGCTACAAGGAAATCCCTGTGTGAAATGCCTAGAAATTGCTAAAAGTGGGATTAGATATCACTATAAAATGATGTCACTAGGTTGCAGTCAATTACGCCAAACTATGATGCTATTTTGTGACTAGTGAGCCTCAGTAATTTACAGTCATCTGAGGTGGGGCCTGAGGACAGGATGTTTGAGAACCCCTATAGATGACCGACTTAGTGAAGTTCAGTTTTAAACTTTTGTATAGTCCTGTCTGAAAATGCTCTTGGAGGAAAAAATGGGACTGAAAGATGTATATCATCTCCTTGTCCCTCTAAGACACAAGTGTCCTGTAATAATGGCATGTGCTGCCATGAAATAGAATGCTACCCAGAAGCAAAGTCTAGGCAGGTACAGACGAAAGCAACAGAAGATCTATAACTCACAGCAGCTTGGAGATGACAAAAGAAAAAAGCAATGTAAAGAACTAAACCAACATGATACTTAATTATTGGACTGCTGAAGCTCATTAGATGATGCAAGAAATCAATTTGCTTATTTCTGCATGCTGAAAATGATATGTTCCTTGTTTGGAAAAGGCCCCAAGTCCAATCCCTGACATCTCCTAGTAGAGCTAAAAAAGTTCCCATCTGGTCTGACACCCTGCAGAGCTTCTGCCACTCAATGTTGGCAGTACTGAGCTACATGGATTACTGGTCTGACTTAGACAGCTTCCTGAGTTACTATCAGTGGTAGCTGGTGCCCAGTGGGACAAATTGGGCAGAGATCAACAGCAGGTAGCGCCAGAGCCAATGACAGGCAGAGTCAGCTAATTCTGATTTTGTCCCTATCTTTCCCTGGGCTGTGTTCTGCAAGGAGCAACACTGAGACTAAGGAAGAGGAAGCCCTGAAACAGGATACAAGGAAGAAGACAGGCAGGTGGGAGCTGGTTGAAGGCAGGCTAAGATTGGTGGGGACCCATTTGCCCTAATGGACCAACCTTTGCTTATTACTATGCTTATACCTGTGCCACAACTACTCGTTTTTTTGGCTAGGGCAAGCTGCTTTATGTATATCTCTTTGGGACCCAGCAACACACACACACACACACACAGAGAGAGAGAGAGAGAGAGAGAGAACAGATAAGATGCCTAAATAGGTATCAGCACTGGATTGCACTCTGCTGAAAAGCA